CTTACCGATGAGGAGCTTCAAACTGCCTTCTGCCGAGCCGAGGCACTGCTGAACACCAGACCAATCACAGTCGTCTCAGCTGACGCCAACGATGAGAAGCCACTGACGCCAGCAGACTTCATCTTGGGGACGGCTAGCATCGAGACCTCACCGGCATCACAGGATGACGCTACAACTCTTCGGCAGCGCTGGAAACGGCTCCAGCAACTATCCATAGAGTTTTGGAAGCGTTGGCTTCGAGAATATGTACCAGCTCTCCAGGCGAAGTCAAAGTGGTTGAAGCCTCAGACCGACTTGAAATCAGGCGATTTGGTCCTGGTGATCGACGCAAATACCCCGAGGAGTCAGTGGCCACTGGGGCGAATCGAGGAAGTGTTACCGGGGAAAGATGGCCACGTGCGTGTGGCTACAGTGAAACTGCACAATAAGGTCGTGACGAGACCAGTCGTGAAGCTGATTCACATCGATGTGCTCCAGTGAAGTAGTAGCCAGTAGTCAAAGTAGTGGAAATGTGAAAGTGATACCTCTATGTAGAATTGGTTGAATTCGTGTCAATTCAAAGTCGAGGGGGGTGTTACAGAGGTTCTTTTATCACACATGTCGCGTGCACATATGTTTTGTGATGATTATCGTATTGAGGTCGGGCAAGACGAGAGAACGAGGGTGAAGAAAATATATAGAAAAAGGAGAACGAGGCCATTAAGTTGTTTTAAGAAAGTTAAGCGAAGTTAAGATAAATAAAGCATTAAGTTAAAAAGCTAAGCGTAACACAACGCGAGGAAATAACCATTAAGACTATCCGAACAGTGGGTAATAGCGCAGTGTGAAAAAAATAGGCAAGTTACATAAAAATGTCGCTATACTACGGTGTAGTTCTCCATCTGAGCAACATATCCTTTTTATGCATGGCGGATAAAAATTGGACCCGGGATCCGGCCATGGAAGAAAAAATATTGGTCAATGTCAGTAAGGATTTTTGTGGAAATGAGCACAGTATGAAAAAATAACCAGAGGCCTCTTGCACCAAACTACCTAGCTAGGTAAAATCGAAAAACCGGTTTCAGAATAAGCTTATCTAACGGTGGTAAATTTGTTTGCAATAGCCCAATACATAATCCTACATGTGCTTGCTAAATTTTGCACGCAAATTGTTACATTTGAGACTTGGACTGGGTATACGATGCAAAATAATCCAAGCATTGGTGCAAGAGGATTTTGGTGCAAGAGGCCTCTGCTCACATAAAATTGGTGCTATACTACGCTATAGTTCACTAACTGAGCATCATATCTCTGCACTTTTTATCCATGAGAAAGAAAAATTCGACCCGGGATTGGCACATGGAAGAAAAATGCACAGTTAATCTGAAAGCCTATTTTTCCACTCCCTGAATTCGGCTGGCCGCCTGTGGCCCTCCAGTTGACCCGGAGGTCCGGCCGGCGGGCTGACCAATCATGCCTCGAGCGATGTCTCGACCGATCAGCTGTTGCGGCGGCTGTACTGGGCCGGCAGTCGGCCGTGGCGCGCGCGCGGGCTCACTACTTACACTTCTCGCCGTCGCGGCAGCATATTTCAATTTACGTCTGGACAACGAGTTGCGGAGAAAAGTGCTGAGTTTGTCGCAGTTTTAGGAGCCGGTGATTTTGCTGGATTTTTGGGTAACTTCTTCGTTCCGATTCCTGTATTTCATAGTGTTTGGCTTTTGAATATTTTAGTTCTTTCAGATAAATATTACTTGCCTTATAAATTTTGTAAAAGCGTTTCATTTTTATAAGCCGACCGCTACAGTCCTAAAAACTACGTCAGCACTACCATTATTGTAGACAAACAAATGGAGCACCACTTGGCTCTGTTCCAACTTCCAAGGCCCTTTTTAAATTCATTTGGTGGTTTTCGTACTCTTGAACGTCGCTTTATTGGAAGTTTTGAATCCCTTGTGATTGACTTATATCATATTAAAGAAGTATGTGGACTGAAAACAATCCCAAGTATCCAGGAGGCTAACAGAGGTCCTGACTCCTAAGCAATATCAAGTTGAAGTTAGGGAATGTTGGTTGATAAACGCAAGTTGATCTGGCTCACATATCAGCAAGAAAAAGTAAAATTAAAAGAGCTTATTGGCCGAAAACAAGCTATAAATTGCAGGAGATCAATACTGAAGAGCACGCTGAGCAGTATCAAGCCAGAAAATGTTGGCTAATGAACGCATATATGCATCATGCATATGCGTTCATCAGTTTATTGATGTATTGGTATAAATATTGAATTATAACTTACAAAAGCAAGATTAATTATTGATATTACTGTTCATTGCTCTGGTAAAGATTAACAAAAAGACGTATATTGAGGCACAGAGCAGCATTCCATATGCTGCTCTGTGCCTCAATATACGTCTTTTTGTCAAGATTAATTAGTTCTAACTATCAAGTGAAAAATCTAGAACGAACGAACTCGGGCAGCTTTACTTTGCTATGCAGATAATGCGCATTACTCAGTGTCTGGCAAATGAAACATGCAAGCATTCGATTGCTACTGGAGGAGAAAGCTTGGATCACTTAATCAGCTTGATGTTGAATTTGATGTTAACACGCGCACCGACGGGGGTCCGCGCCAACTTCGTACCGACGGGGGGGGGGGCGGATGACCGCCCCCTGAGATCTCGAGAACGAAGCAAGATAGCGACAAGCGGTAAACGGCATCGGATACGCACGGACAAGGTCTACAATTTTACTAAGGTCATTTTTAGGTCATGTCAAAGATGACGTCACAGGGGTCAAAAAAGTCGAAATGGCGGCGCTAGATATGGCGAGAGTTTTTATCGAATAACTTTCGAATTAGTCAAGATAGGAACAAACTAAGGGCATATTCGTGATCCTCTCGTCAATCCGCATCGGATGATATATATGTTGACCTCAAAAGGTCAAGGTCAAAGGTTGACCTCAGGTTACGTGACCTCGAGGTCATCATGTATGTATATCAATCGATGCGTCTTGACGAGCTGAACACAATGAGACCATCCGCGCGGCTGTATCTTGTTCATGTACGGAGTTATTGGCAAAAAAACCTTTGGTGACCTTTGATGACGTCACATGACCTTACAGCTGCCCAACAGCAAAACAGACCTAAAGGTAGTGAAGGGTGATCGTATATGAAGTCATGTATGGTATATGGGGCCATTCCGACCCGCTTTAGTGGTAAAAACAGGGAGTTGATTTTCCCCCATTGACTTATAATGGGGAGGTCGAGAAATTGACCTGACCTTAGGTCATCGATATCAAAATCGTTAGGCGGCACGGGTGGACGTCGATAGTAGCGCCTCTAGCAGTCAATAGGGAAAGCTGGGCTGTAGGCGACGAAATACCGGCTGAGTTGTCACACGTTGAATAGGTTTATAGACATCCGTCTTGTGAAAAAGTTGAACTTTTGCCTTCAATATTTCTACAGGCAATTTTAGAAGTGACCTTCACATCTTGCAAAACCGTTTAGATTATTGTATTCACTTCAAGTCTTCCTTATTGTTCTTGATGATGATGCTGGAACTATTTATAGTTAGTGTTTCTGGCTTAGTAAAAAAAATATACTATGCAAACGATGGAAAAACATAACAGGAAGATTTTAAATGCAATTTTCTCTAACAATTAATGGTAGATTCTCTACATATCAAGGAAAAGGTGCATGCTAACCGATAATTCAAAGCTCTTGGGGCCAGATGTTTTCTTCTTTTCTTACGTCGCCCCAATGGCCGCGAATACACTTGTGATAACGCCTATCGTTCCGAGATAAAAATTGTAGCTACTAATGACCTTATAACAACCTGCGACTTTCAAAGGCCTCTGACATCTACTGTAGCTCTGGCACGGTGACAAAGTTGCAAAAAAGTGACTTGAGGTTGGGTCATTCAAAGTGACCTGGTGACCTGACCTTAAAAGTTAGGAGGTTCAAATTTGCACACCATGTGTAAAATTGATGAGAGAATAGTCGTTCTAAATTTCGCGGCGCCGCGCCGCACTAAGTGCGGCGCGGCGCCGCGAAATTTAGTACTAAGTGCGGCGCGGCGCCGCGAAATTTAGTACGACTAACTACGACTTTAGATTTATCAGAAGTCTTCTCCCGCTATTTGCGAAAAACCTCAGGGGGGTGGATATCCGCCCCCCCCCCCCCACGTCGGTGCGCGTGTTAATCATTACACTGCATTTCTTGAAAAAAGGATTGTAGTAACATTGTCAATGTGATCATCCATGCAACAATGTGATCATATGATGTGTTCATAGTCATTCAAGATAGTGATTATTGGTCCAATATACAATGGAAAAGCTCTCAGCATTTCTTTCTGTGGATGGCCAGAAGTGACTCAGAGCGTAGAAGTATTAGGGTGGGGTCAAGGTCACCTAAAGGTCAGGTCAGGTCAACAACCCTCGATGACCTCAGTTCACTTTTTCGAGTTGTTTCTAGGCTAGTTTTTGGATCTGAATTCGAATTTATCAACCATTTTATTATTTACGAAGTAGTTTTGGTGCCTTCGTAACATGTTCCGAGGCTCTCATAGGCGGTTGACAGTTGACACGTACTACGAATACCCGGCAGGACCCCTACTGTTTGACCTGACCTGACCCGACCTGGCCTAAATGCATGAACACATCAGCTGTGATCAAAACTAACATGATATTCGTGATCAGCACCCCGAAAAACCTGATAGCAGCCACACTTCACGACGTTCTAACAGGTCCCGATTTTCCAGACCTTTGTGTCATTGGCATGAGCTAAAAGGCTAACCAACTGCCCAGGACCTTAGAATCGGGTATCATCGGCTTTATCTCGTCACGGGCAACACGCTCATTTTTTTTTTCCTCGAAGCTCCAGCTCGATCAGGGGTCAAACGGCAAGGGGGGTCCAACCCCCCCCCCCCCTTATACGTTCGCGGCTTGCAAAACACCAATACGGGCGAGTGTTATCTCCTTAAAAGAAATCCAAGAGGCCCAGCGGGGCTCAGGATAATGCTTACCTGAAGTTTCCGCTTTTGTTGGTTGAGTTCGTGAAGAGAGCGTCCTGCCAGCAACTTCAGCTGAATCATGGTATTGTTTTTCTCTTCTATGCGATCTAAAAATTGCTGGTTTTCTATTTTTAACTGATCGAAATCCACCTGACGTAACACCTGAAAAATTGTTTGGTTAACAATAATCCTGTTTACATAGGAGTTGTGGAGGTTCCCCCAATCCTGCCCTATGTCTCCCCTATTTTCAGGTCGAATTTTGGGCATCATAGCCCTCGAGTATAACACTGCTATATATGAGTGTTTCTGTTATCAGAGGCTTACAAGGAATGTTTTTTTTTTACTGTAAAAAAACTATAAATTGTGTACATTAAATACCTGAACACTCACCTTCCATAATTGGAAGGGATTTTCCCCTGCCTTTCAATCCCTTCTTAAACCCGCGCCCCGAGGTCCTGGATTTCCACGCCCTGCTGGGGGGGGGGGGATGTTTGAACACTCCCCGTTCTAACTCTGCTCCTGGGCCACGTAGCGATACAGAAAAGACGGCGTTCGAAAGAGCGTCAAAAATAAAGAAGAAGTCACTTCCGTCAATTTTTTGGTCAGGCCAAAGGTCAGGTCACCAGAGGACATTGTAGGCCAAAATTCGTCGATTTGTAGGTCAGATGTCGACAACTTTCAACAAATCGTGGCACAGCTCGGAAACTAATAAAGCTACAGCGCCGCCGAAAAGCCATTTGATAGCCCTAATAACGCTCTTTCTGAGTAATTCTCTCATATTTGACCTACCGTCAACAGTTTTGCCTGCAGGGGGTGAAAACTGCCAAAATAGCCGATTTTTTTCGGAAACCGGTTTTCTGCAAGAACTTTTGACTCAAACCTTACACGAACTTTCTTTTACCAGCATCGTGTTTATCTCGCCAAGACGCGTCGAATGAACTATCACGTGACCTTGAAAGGTCAATTTGCAAATTTGACCTCAGGTTAGCCCTCGCCGGCACAGGGGGTGCAACCCTCCCTAAGGTTTTTCACGAATAACTCGCGTAAAAAGCGGCTGATCGCGACGACACTTTCAGCACCCTCGCATTGATCAATTTTACACCTACCCTGAAAATTTCATGACCCTGACCCAAATGAACTTTGACCTGTGACCTCTTTTCCGAGACCATGTTTGGCCGGAATCGCGATTCGGCGTATGTCGGCTCGCATTAGCCGCGCGTTTGCAAGCTTTTCGTGGTTTCAAACGTTCAAACATGTGATTTGATGTTGCTCCCATACATTAGGGTGGGTGTCAAGGTCACCTGAAGGTCAGGTCAGGTCATTGACCTTTGGTGACCTCGGGTGACCTCGGTTCACTTTTTCGAGTGTTACATGTTTCTAGGCTAGTTTTTTTTAGCTGAATTCGAATTTAGCAACCATTTGAACATTTACGAAGTAGTTTTGGTGCCTTCGTAACATGTTACGAAGCTGTCAGAGGCGGTTGACACGTATTACGAATACCCGTCACAACCCCTACCGATTGACCTGACCTGACCTGACCCGACCTGGTCTAAATGCTTAAAGACATCATCTCTGATCAAAACTAACACGATATTCGTGATCAGCACCCCGGAAAACCACATAGCAGCCACACTTTACGACTTTCTAACAGGTCCCGATTTTCCCGGTTTTCGGGTCATTGACCTGACCTGGAAGGTCACCCGATGACCTAGGACCTTAAAGTTGGGTATCGTCGGCTTCCTCTTGTGACGGGCAACACGCTCGTTTTTTCTGCGAAGCTCTAGCTCGATCAGGGGCCAAACGCGAGGGGGGTCGTACCAACCCCCCCCCCCCCTTGTGCCGTCGAAGGACGCAAAATGGCCTGTGCCGGCGAGGGTTATTTAAGAAAAAAGGAAGCTCATTATCTCCCTATGATAGCCTTAGTAACTCTGGATTTGTTTAGGTCCCCCGGCGGCCGGCAACAAGCTCTGCTTAGCCGGGGGACCTACTCAAATTCCGGCACTGACCCTGCATCCACAGTGACCAGAATTGTTCCCGCCTAATTGACCTTTCTTCGACTGAGTAGGTAATATGAATAAATGTGCTCTACTAACAACATGAATGTATGAAATGGTATGGATGAGTTCTTTCTTGGGCGTAGATGGGGGACAGTCATCTGTTGAGTTCAACAGTGACTACTTTCGCCTTCTCTTATGTAGCACTAACAATCCCTCCAGCCTCCTTTTGCTTTTTTTTTTTGTTCACTTCAGTCTCCTAGCTGGGAGTGCCGCGACTTTTTCTCTTTATTTTATCTGGTGTTAACGTACGGTTCTGTGAGTCGCTGGGTTGAGGGCGGGGGCACTCCTGGTCACCTACTATTGGGTGGCGGTGTAGTTCTTAAAAAAACGTGATAGGTAAATGACGTCACGCAAGATCAACAAAGCAAAAGAGAAGCATCAGACCTTCCAAGGAGCGCATGAAATCACGATTCCGTGTGCTTGAGAATTTGAGATAGATGTAATGTAGATCATTTCCGGACCAAACTAGCAATTTCCATACTCTCCCTGACTGTTATTGGTGAGAGACCGACTTGATCTCAGGCGATCCTTCAGAAAATCCGAGATATACATTTATACAAGTTGTGAGACCTTCAAGTTCGTGTAAGTTTCATCTTTTTTTTTTAAATTTAGTCCGAATGGCTGAATGGGCGGATTTGAGGAATCAGAGCCCGCACTAAGCATAGCTTGTTGTGCTGACCCTGACCCCACCACCCGATCGCGCAATAACAGTTGTATGGCAGAATTGTGTCCGAACGTTTAACCCTATTCCTGGCGGGGGGGCCTCAGGAGCCCCCCCCTGAGGTTTTTTGGTTATTTCTCCCAAACGCGTTGAGCTAGGAAGCTCAAATTTTCTGACTTTTCCTAAAAGGCTTCTACGCAACATGTCTGAAAATTGTGAGTTGATCTGACCTCAGGTCACATCACCAGAGGCGGTTTCGTGACCCTACCTCAGAAAAGTTTACAATCACGCCAGAGCTAGAGTTTTTGACCGATCAATTTCTTCTCTTCAGGGTTTAGTTAGGGTACCAGTATGTGCAATTTGTATATCTCGGAATTTTGATATCGGTGACCTAAGGTCAGGTCAATTTCGCGACCTCCCCATTATAAGTCAATGGGGGAAAAATCAACTCCCTGTTTTTACCACTAAAACGGGTCGGAATGGCCCTATATACCATACATGACTTCATATACGATCAACCTTCACTACCTTGAGGTCTGTTTTGCTGTTGGGCAGCTGTGAGGTCATGTGACGTCATCAAAGGTCACCAAAGGTTTTTGGCCAATAACTCCGTACAGGAACAAGATACAGACGCGTGGATGGTCTCATTGTGTTCAGCTCGTCAAGACGCATCGAATGATATACATGATGACCTCGAGGTCACGTGACCTGAGGTCAACCTTTGACCTTGACCTTTCGAGGTCAACATATATATCATTCGATGCGGATTGACGAGAGGATCACGATGATGCACTTAGTTTGTTCCTATCTTGACTAATTCGAAAGTTATTCGAGAAAAACTCTCCATATCTAGCGCCGCCATTTTGACTTTTTCGACCCCTGTGACGTCATCTTTGACCTGACCTGAAAATGACCTTAGTAAAAATTGTAGATCTTGGCCGTGCGTATCCGATGCCGTTTACCGCTTGTCGCTATCTTGCTTCGTTCTCGAGATCTCAGGGGGGGGGCCGAATCGGCCCCCCCCCGCCAGTTTCTTGTCCCGGCGGAGCCCGCCAGGAATAGGGTTAAAGGGACTATCCCACCTTTAACATGGGGTTTGAGTTGAGATAGCCAAGTTTGCGGCGAGGTTCAGAAACCACTATCTATCTAGGTTGCAACCCCCGCGGCCTCTTGGTGTTGAAAAAATTCGTTCCCTTCATTTGAAAATGGGCCTTGTACAAGGCCCTATCTTCAACATGGAGCGACCGTTAGTGTGACGTCACCTCGTTTAGTCATTCTGATTTAAATGGGTTTGTTCGTTGAAAAATCGCTTAAAACTTGGTCTGAACTTTGTTGTGGTGCCTACAGAGTAAAAAGAATCAACTTTATGACAGTAATGTGGCCTGGGGAAGGAGGTAATTTTGGGCTGTGACGTCACATATTTGAAAGTTTGTGTTTGGAATATGGGAAGCCTAAGATGTTTAATGAAAAATAAATGCCAGAACCGTGTTCCTGGTCATCCAATCTATAAAGTCGGGCACAATTTAACTGGTATTAACAACATTTTAGAAGGTGGGATAGTCCCTTTAACGTGCCCTCACGACTGGACACGGCCCCCTCCGCTCACTCACGTTACCTGGCTTCTGTGCGGCCCCTGCCACAGACACGCACGCCATTACACGTAGGAGCTTAATGTGGCCGCCCGCACCGGGGCTTGAACCGGGCTCTCAGTTCCAGCTAAGCGTCGAATTCCGGCGCTTTTATCCACTCGGCCACGGAGAGGAGCATCATTTGCCTATGAAAGCTCTGCACTGAGGGTGTTGCGAAGTTAGAACATTTTGGGATTGTGCACACAGTCCTAAAATGTTCATTTTAGGACAGTTTAGGACAGATTCACACAGTTCATTTTAGGACTGTTCATTTATGACGTCATAGATCAGTGACCTGACTTGACTTAAAAATGCGGTTGGTGTAAAAAAATCCGACTCATTAAATACAGACTTAAAAAAAATCGACTTATAATCCGGTTAATCAAATCCCGACCTTGTTTTTCCCTGACCATTAAAGGTAGTGTGCCAGCTTTCCTGGACCGTATGGAGTTAATGGCCCAGATCAGGAGAACCGGATTTTTAGAACTTATCCATACCTTCAAAACTCATGGAAACGTCTTATATTCTTCAAATTTTGAGTACCCCAGTGCGAAATTCGCCCCGACGGGTTGTCGGTCGTACCCCAACCACATTTCACACCACTATGAACAATAAATGCACACACTGAAATCGCTATTACCGATATGCTCATCCAATCAAGTTTCGATAAACCCGTTCATCATCATCTCCTGCGGTTTCGAACACGCCTGTTAGGTGGTGCGGTAGACCGCGCCCAAAGCCAGGGCCCCGGTAACGTGAGGTAGCCGAGTTGGGGCAGCGTGCGCTGACCCAAGCCGGGGCCGCGCGTCCTCCCGG